TTACAGTTTTTCTCAGTCGCTTTGGTGCATTTCTCGAATCATCCTTAGTATTTGAAATGAAGTATGTGCATTTCTCAAAACAATTCGTACAAACAGCACCACACAATGGATTAGGCCTACCTGCAAAAGCCTGTAACTTATTCAAAATCTTTAGCTCATCTCTCAAAAGTAAGTATTTATGTAAATGAACATATCAGTGCCATCACAATGAAAAGTCCTTGTGTCATTGTTCACAAACAAGATAGTCAAAATGCTTAGTCATGTTGTCAATATAACAGTGAACTCTGTTAGTATTACCTGATGTAAACTATGGCAACAGTTTGGATGACAATTACTGTATTGAAATGCAGAAGGCTGCACTTCCTATGTATGCCATATGTCCATTTCTAAAGTACAAATTTACACATTACTGTGTGTGGGATATTGATTGAAAGAGACTGGACAGGATTCACAGTTACACTTGAGCTATTTCAGAAAACTGGTTCATCATTGGTTGATCTACATTCTCTTCATTAGTGAAAGTCAAGATTCACCTGCACAATTCATGGCAAATTTACAAAAAGTCTAATAGAATTGTGTAGAAAATGTGCTTGACAGTTTATGACAACTAGATCAACCATTTTGCATTTAATGACTTATACGATGAACCAATGACTAGATGTTTTGAGGGGAAAGACTATTGCACAGAGAACTATATAATACATTTTGAGCAGCATGATATTAGCAAATTATAGCATTGGAAACCGCAGACAAATGTACATAATCAGTTGCATGAATGTACCAAAGCAATCGCAAGTTGTTCAAAAGAATGAGAAACTGCTTTTATGATGTGCACAAGTGACTAGATGATGTGGAGTAGGGCTGCACGATAAATCGCGACAAATTGCAATGATATCGCAATCAACGTGATTAATAAACACATGACTATGATAATATATGGTTTATCTGAGTTCTTCCTCCTATAATTGTCCTTATAATAAAGTATATAATAATGAAATGCCTCTATCACTGCTTAAATACTATGAAATATGTTGCGTGCCTTATTCTGTGTAAGAAGCCACATCATCTCACAGAAGGATTTATTTCAAACACTCGACTGACGTTATGAAGTGAGTTTGGAGTAAAAATGTTATTAAATGTGGTATTTTCACATGCTTTCAGATGGAGCAGCATTTACTACACAGAGCCGTAGTTCACTGAGAAGCTACTCATACAACTTTATTATCGCAGCACGATTTCATAATCTCGATGATATCGTCTGCGATTATGAACGTGGTTTTGCCTAGCTTGTCAGTGAACTACGGCTCTGTGTAGTAAATGCTGCTTCATCTGAAAGATTTACTACTAATCACAGAACCGGCTTTACTGACAAGATGTCCATGAATATCACATGCGATTTATCATGCAGCCCTAATGTGGAGGTTGAACAAGTATTTTGGGGAATTTCATTTCTGATCTGAGAAATGCACCAAAGCGACTGAGAAAAACTGTAAAAAGAGTGGTGGCAGAAGGCCTCACTGAGCCGTCGATGGACTCCAGGATGTCTACGCTGGGCAGCGAGGAGCGTCTCCTGGTGGGAGTGTAGCTGGGGCTAGACGGGTCTGCGGGTCGTTTCCTGAGCTCTACCACCTCACAGCATGCCTGGTCCTCGTTTAGGGTGCTTTTACCGGCATTGATCACCCTGTAGACACACAGAAGATCATCAGTTTCATCACGAACACAGTTTCTATATGTCTGCAGGAAGTCAACTTTAACCCATAGAGACTCAAGGGCTGTTCACGCTTATGAAGACTTGGCACAATGATGATGGAATAGTTAATTCTGCTTAAACCGACAACCTCTTGGTCTTCGTCAAACAAGTCTTTTCGAGCTTTTAAATGCTTCTCGATGATGCACAACTGCCATCATCTCCTCAGATGAGTCACAGCGTGAGTCTAAAGAGCACAAGACAGCATGACGCTCGCTCACGAGCCTATGATAATTGCCCCCATCACAACAGGGTTTCCATGGAAACCCATTCCTGCATCCTGATTTGTTAATGAGGATTTAACAGGGTTTATGCGGTCCACGGCTTTGTCCTGAGAGGAGACGCATGTCATTCTGCAGGGACATTTGTGACGTCTCACTCGTGCTGCTGGAAACGCTTCTTTTGATGTAGAAAATACACCTGGATTCAAAGAACAGCATTCCTCACAATCAGTCAGATTTCAGGGGCAGGTTCAGGGTCAGAAACACTCACATCAAACACAAAAATCCTCTCTGATTTCTCAGACTTGTGTTATAGTAAATGCTTAGTATACAATAGAGAGATAGAATGATAGATAGAATGACAGATAGACAGATAAAATGATAGAAAATACATAGAACAATAGAACAACAGAATGATAATATAGATCGAAAGAACGATAGAACTATAGAACGACAGACAGACAGACAGATAGAATAACAGACAGACAGACAGACAGACAGACAGACAGATAGAATAACAGACAGACAGACAGACAGATAGATAGAATAACAGACAGACAGATAGATAGATAGATAGATAGAATAACAGACAGACAGACAGACAGATAGATAGATATATCAATCAATCTTTATTACAGACTCAAGGTCCAAATTTAAAAAAAAAACAAGACAATAGGACAACATATACAACCCACAGCATCTACCACCACAATAAAAAGTTACAAAATACAACAATACCAATGTCTCCACAGCTTTGACTGATACCGTGTAGTACTAACCCTTATATTTGATAGACCCACAATAATCTCATTTTTTGAAGCATTTAGCCGGCAGATAAATCTATACATAAGATTTCGTAACA